TTTTATGTATATTTTATCTGTAAAGAACATCCTATGAACTTCCATAAACTAGTGAAGAATTTCTGCAGCAGCTTTACTTTTCACATTTAAAAATTATAGCCTGTGCTTTGTCTGGGCTCCGTGCCCCCAGGAAAAGCAGCCCTTTGGGTGCCTTCTGTCACCGAGAGTGAGAACTGACTCAATTTATAAAAGCCTCCACAGACGCCTGATGGAATATCCATCTGATCTCCAGTAACGTTGTTAGACTGTGAGTAATGCCCCCGTGATGGATCTAGTGACCTGACTTATGGAGCAACTCTCCTGGACCCAGACAGACAGTGTTTATCATACCTAAGTTTAGTCAATTTGCTAGTTTGTCAGCGATTCAGAAATTGCTCTTGTGCTGATAAAACATAAACTGACTGGTTTATTTATGTACTTGCTTCTACTCAAAGCTCTTAGTATATCAAAGAGGTGTATGTAATCTGTTTAACTTTGGCATCCAGTTATTCTAAAGGGCAAAAGGGTGTGTGTGAGACAGTATCTCTTTTCCATGTTCAACAAACATGCAGCCAGCCCCTAATGAAAACCACAGCTACCAGTTAAACAAGCGCATCAACAGGCAGAGAAGAGAAATAGCTTTGCAAGCCTTTGTTGAAGATGTGATTAACTTTAGCAAAGGCATGTATGCTATAATTGATGTATAATTATGAGTAAAACACAGATCTGACCCCAAATAGCTTGTGATCTTATAGGGAGACCAGAAATGAAACCTTTTAAGTATATCAGTGTAAACGCAGAGATATAAACAAACACATCTCATACAGATATCCTTGTGCTGAGCTTAGATTACTATTAGTATTTATTGAGCAAACCCAAAAAAGGGTTCAAGGAAGAAGTAAGTTTGCATTTCCTAGGCTAAAGGATTAGGGCTTAGGAGAGGCAGTTGATTAACATCTCAAGGCATAAAGTTACCCTCACTTTCCTTCCCTGGAAATAATCCACAAGCCATAGGGAAATTCATTCTAGCCAGGGTGATCTTTAGGAACAGTGGGGCTAAATATCACAAATTGTTCAGAAATCTAGTTGCTAATTCAACATCTGGATTTCCATTAATCTCCCTGCAACATTTTGATCTAAAAATAAGAAATATTTTTTTTTAAGTTAAAAAACTTGTATTGAAATACCTGTCTATAGAGCTATATGAAAATCCACAAGATCTTATTATTCCAACAACTCTCATGCAGTTGGTTGGATTACAATTGGTCTATCAATACCAAATTCTCCCTACAAGTGCATTATGGCAATTAAACTAATGCTGAACATTTAAGGAACACTATGAGGAACAATTCATTTTTAAAGGTACCTATTAGAATGTGTTGCATTCTGCAGTTTGTAAAGCAGTTTTATTTACAGAATCTCATTTAATCATCACCATAACCCTGTAAGGAAGATGCTGATATTCCCAGATAGGTGCAGTAACTGCCTAAGAGGCCAGACCTAAAACCTAGATCTTCTCACTTCTGCTCCTGTGCCAGTGTTTGGATTGTCAGTTAGTTTTTAATATCATCTTGATACTGCTAATGCCATCTGTTCCATTTGCAAAAGAACGTAGGACATCTGCCCAAATAAACATTGGCCAAGAAGTAAGTACCAGGTATCTTGGACTGTGGCCAATTCCACGGTATAAAATGGTGTGCAAACATGTGGACTGCACCATGAATGTACAGTCAGGCAAAAATCCCAACTGTGGGAAATACTGCAGGTCAAATGCCCTGGTTTCTTCAGTCAATAAAGTATAAAGAGAGGTGAAGCAGCAAGCTGCAGAGTACAAGAAACTTAAAGACCTATCGTTTTTTAAATGGACAAGACTAAACCAACGTGTCTAGGCATGCACCATGGGGTGATAAATTATTTTTTAAAGCACAGGAAGTGATTAACATAAAGTCAGGAGTGGTAACTTTTGGGGGGGAGGGAGGAGACTGATTGGGACAGGACACAGAAGGGGAACCTGGGGTGGCTGGTAAAGTTCTATTTGTTGACTCAAGTATTCAACAGAAGGGTGCTTGCTTTCTTATAATTTGCTAAGGTGTATATTTGTTTTGTGGGATTTCCAGATGCTGTGCCTTATTTTCTAATAAAAAATAGAAAAATAAAAAGTTTTTAAAAATGGTGTGCTGAGCCCAGTGTCTCCATCTCCACCATTTCTTCTGTGGTGTGGGGAAAAGCAAGACAGGTGATTTGGTGAGAAAGGGAGAGTATGGGGATAGATAAAATAGTTTGTCTTTTGACTTGTAGAAAGGTTTCTCTGCACCATCCAAGCTCTGAAGAAAAATCAGAGCTCATGAACCTGTCAACTTTTTAAAAGTCACTTGTGTTCCAGTTGCAGAGATTCTTTGATTTGAGAGTGGGATAGCTACAGAGAGTCGCAGGAAAGTGACACTCCAGAAAGAGAGGCTCAGCACTCTCAGTAATCCAGGATGGACTGGTGTGTTCAGCCTCCCCTCGTGGCTGCCTGGGGATCAGGGAATTTCTTTACTCTTACGACAGCAAACTTCTCCCCACAGTGAGCCCCAGTGAGCAGTTGAGGGAAATGTGAAAAATGATTCAGGGAGTGTTTGGTGAGCCCCTGCTGTGCCCTAACATGGGCTGTGAAATGAGAAAATACAAAACAGTATGGAAAGGGTCCTACCTTAAACTTACTGTTTTATGGGGAAACCAAGCCAGTAGTGTCAGTCACAAACGATGGGCAGATGGAGTGGGGTAGACAGTCAAGCTGGAGAAGTTGGCGGTCAGTGAGGTTTCAAAAGTGAGCAGATTTGCAGCCTGCTGTCTGTACTTGCTTACACTAGCATGCCTTTGTCGTCAGGCAATACGTGACTTACTCTGCTACCTTGATCTATTTACTCCGTAAAATGAGTTTTCTCAGGATTGTCAGGAAGAATAATCCACATTAAAGTGACTATATATTGATTTGCCAAGTACCATAGTAATATCAAGAGAGGCTGCTTGGTGGCTGAGAGCACACATTCTAGAAGCAGATTGGCTAAATTTAAATTCTAGCTGTATCACTTGCTGGCGGTGTGACCCTGGGTAGGTTACTTAACCTCTCAGTTCTATAAAAAGGGTTAATACCTACTACATAGGATTCTTGTGATGATTAAATGAGTTAACATTTATAAAGGACTTAGAACAATGCCTGCCATCTAGAAAGAGCTCTGTAAATGTTTACCAAATAAATAATGAACATTAATTATTAGCACTTGTCATGAAGTGCTTTACAGGCAGCATCTCACTCATCCAAACAGCTCTGTGACATAGATCACTATTACGAAGGCTAATATGAGATAATGATACTCGTACTTCCATTGACTGGAATCCAGGAGAAACTCTTCTTACATTACCACAATCTTCTTCCCAAACACCTGGCGTCCTACAAGCCCACCTTCTGCATTTGTGCAGAAAGTCAAGCCAGGGATTCTGGACAGCGTCTCTGCAGCACCAGCCTTACCTTTGCACTCCTCCTGCTGACGCACAGAGGAACTGAGGGAGCCAAAATGTATCACCCAGCGAGCCTCAGGTCAACATTTACTGGCTCACGTCAGAACTTTGACATGGAGTGAACCGAGCACTGAGGGCTGGGAAAGGCCCAGGGGAGCAGCTCTGAAGCCCGTCCATGTGCACATGGTCTCATCTTCCGGTCCTGCTGACAAAATTTCATTTTATTTATTTTTTTAATTTTTATTTTACCATTTACTTGTACGTGTTCGTGGGGTGTGGGATGTTGTTTCAATACATGCATATACTGCACAATGATTCACTAAGGGTAGACAGCATAGTTTTGTACCCATTAGTCCCCCACTTCTCCTTCCCAGCTCTCTCCCCTCTCAGCCTCTGGTAAACATTATTCTACTTTCTACTTCTATGAGAAGCACTTCTTAAAAATTTTTTAGATTCTACATATGAGTGAGATCAGGTGGTATTTGTTTTTCTGTGCCTGACTTCACTTAACCTGACGGTTTCCAGTTCCTTCCACGTTGCTGCCAATGATAGTATATCATTTTTTTAATTGCTGAGTAATATTCCATTGTGTGTATACACCACAGTTTGTTTATCCATTCATCCACTGAGGAGCTTGTAGCTTGATTCCATCTCTTGGCTATTGTGAAAAGTGCTGCAATGAACATGGGAGTGCAGGTGTCTTTTTGAAATATTGGGTTAATTTTCTTTGGGTATACACCCAGAATAGGATAGCTGTAGTCATCTTGTCTAAACCTCTCGTTTTGTACACACAAAGAAGAATATCTGGAAAGGTGAAGGGACTTACCCAGAGTCACACAGGTGCTCAGAAACAGAGCCAGGAGTGACCCCCAGGCAGAGAGTTTCTGCTGTGTCAGGGATAATGGCTGGATGCTGGGCTGGGCACATCAAAGACATCACTTTAACCCTCCAACAGCCCCTTTAGGTGGATGTTACAATCTCCATTGTATAGATGAGGAAATCCAGGTTATGTAGCTTACCCCAAATCTCACAGGTAGAAAGTGGCAGGGCTGAGATTTGAGCGTGAGTCTGCCTAACACCAAGGCACACGGCTAGGATCCACATTTCAGGTTTTCAGCTGGAAGTGGATGATAAAATTGGACCCATCTTTAGCTTCCAGGGCTGACCTCTGTCCTGTAGTTGGGATACATTTCCTTGTAAGTTTCCCTCACTCATTGGCTCACTCCCCACCCCGTCCCCAGGACCACAGACACTCATTTGCAGGTTGGAGTGGTCTGTTGCAGTGACACAGTGACACCAGATAATTTTAGATAAACCCCA